AAAAAAAAACCTAAAAATACTATTTCAAAAACACTACATAATAAATTTATTCAAAATACATAGAATTGTCCATGTGCATGATTAACTGAATTGCATGAGCATTATTAACTGTTCCTAAGAAGTTCCAGATATGCATGCAAACGAAATCCTAAATTTTCAAAATCATGTAAACTTGTGTTACCAGAGTCAAAAGCAAAACTACTGTTCCATCAAGGTTAGCAGAAGCCATGATTTTTCTAAATCTCACAGTTACACTTGTAGCCTTGGAAAAATGACTTCACAAAAATCCAGTCTTATATATGGATGGATCCCAAACTTCCAGATAGTAATTCACTAGATTTTATTCAATGCACTTTGCTCTTCTGATGTAAGTCAGTATAAGAGAAAGAGTCAGACCTTGAAATGTGATCATTATACGTCTGATCTTGTTTCTCTAACCCTCCAAAATAAGGCCTGGGATGTAATTTGAGAGGTCTTCTAGTCCAGCACATTCACTAATGCAGGATCACATTCAGTATACATTAAGGATGCCGATCAAGTTTCCATGAGGTGATGATCTCATTTCTTGCAATAAACGACCATGTTAGCACACTAAAAGAGAATACATTAGCCAAAACTTTCCTAAAAAGGTATCAGCAGCTGTTTATTAATACTCAACACTAGATGGCTGATCTTGCCTCAGAGAAATCAAGCCATTTCTTAAGACTGATAAAATGATTGCCCAATTCCCTTTAGTACCTGTTYCAGCAGGCCTTATCAACACCAGACCAACACAGCAGATGCCTTAAATTTCGCTTTGTGCAGCCAAAACTCAACTATTGTCTTTTTTTAAAAGGCCACTCATGAAGACCAGCTGGCTACTAGGCTCTTCCTCTCATTGTACTCAGACTGTTTCTCACAATTCATCTTTTCTAAGCCTCTTAGTATTCATAATGTCATTCAGAGGACTGTAAACTGTGGGCCAAAGCAGGCAGGACACACAACTCCAGCTGACACCGGATCAGTACATCAGCTACAGGAGTAAATGTAACCCTTTGACACTTTTATAACACCTCTACCTTAAGAGYTTTTCTCTCTTTAATATAACAGTGACAATGCTGTTGATACTGATCCCCTTTTCTGTTGTCTCTTATTTTGTATTCTAAATGTTGATCTTCTTTCCCCTAAGCGCTGTRCCTTGTTTACTGAATTTCTTCATATTGATTTCTGGCCATTATATCCCYTTTCCAAGAACACTTTAAATCATAAGCCTATTCTTCAAAATTTTACAATTTTCTCCCTTCTGTTAACTAATGAAAGTACTGAACAGCAATACTGTTGGGACAGATACCACTGTAGGTAGAATCCCATTTAATAGAACCTCCTACTTTGACAGAGACCWTTAAAGGTTTCCATTCTCTTTAACGAAATACTTTTAACTCTTTAAAATATTTCCATTTTGCAATGATTTCATTTTACTACCTCTACCTACTTTACTTGTGAGAACAYGGGACAGTAGCAGAAGCCTCACTGAAATGAAACCACATACACCTCATTTACTCTCCCCTTTGCACCCTTATCCACACAGAGTTACTTCTTAAAAAAATTACTYAGGGAATAGAAACAGTGTGGACAAACCAAGATGAAAATGTGGAACTTCAGATGTTATTTTTTAATGTTGCATCTGATTTTTAAAATCATCTTTTTCAAGGCCTATTCTTTGAGTCAAACCCCTACAGTTTGTTCTTAGATCTCATTTATTCTGAAACAGGATAAAGCATCAAAGTTTTTTGGCTTTAAAAAATTCCGTGCACAGGTGCTGTAAAAAAGGTGACTCAAGGTAAATATGCAAGAGAAATCCTAAGAATGAAGTGATAAGAAAAGGCAAGGGCAACATGAGTTCACCACAGACATTTCTGCATTCTGGTGAGAAGGATAAAAATAAAGAACCAAATTCTGCTTTTATCTGCACTCATCACCTAGTTGTTGCAGAACAGCTTGCTTCCAACAGAAACCCAAACAGGCAGAAAAAAAGGTAGCAGTGTAATTCCACGGGTGCTCTTGTAGAACTGCAAAATGCTGATAAAATATAAAAGTAAGAATGATCCAAGCCCTACAATTTCAGCTGGTTGCAGATTTTCAGCTGTGTTGTTCCATGTCCTAGGGAATAGCACACAAACCAAATATGAGACCCTTATACAGTTGCAGCAAAATACCTGAGCATGCAACTGTCCTGAAACCAGCACCTGCCCCAAGATGGCAAGAAGATAGCAGAAATATCACAGCAGCAAAACTTGGGGCTGTGTCTGAACTCTCATCATCACATCTCCACCTGTTCTCAGTGGGTTTTAAGCAGAAAAAGGAAAACTGAATCTCTGAAACCTCATTAACACACAGAATGAATGGGAATWGATTTGTAAAATGAAATAGCTCTCCCTGAGGATCCAATGTGTGTGCTACAGGGATTTCATAAGGTATTACACGAAACTCCATTATAATACCATGGACTGAATGTATTGGGTGCACTTGTGTGTTTGTTCCCAGTACATCTGGTTTAGGTTCATCCTAAGGGAATGCATTCCTATGCTCTGAGGTCACTCTGTGATGTAAGCCAAAGCTTGGTAATTGGGGAAAACTTGCTTCAAAAGCCCAATATACATGGACCTAACATACTAAAGGGTGCTGAAGTCTTTGCATTCATTAAAGGTCTGCCATTCCCTTTGCAATGAACTGTGCTGGTTTTGTTGCCAAGGCCCTCCTCCAACTGCAAACAGGAGACAGACACTGCCTGAGACATACAATTGGAGCATTCACAGCAGAGAAATGAATTCAGCTGTGTGAAAATTTTGAAAATTGAACAGCGTTTTTATCAGGCCAAATTTACCTTTACAAAAGCAGTTGGATTACACAAATGATTTTTTAAAGCTGTGTTATGCTCAGCAGATAAATTGTGGAAAGTACAGAGTATATTAAGCCACTGATACTACTGCAAGTGCAATGCTGCAATGTGATGTACAACACAGAGATGGATGCCACTRAACCTAAAGTTTTCTATGCATGCTTCAAGTCTGGAAGCAATACATTGTTTTACCTCCATACTCAATATATGCTCACAAATCCTTTCAGAGATCACCTAGTTCTTCACAGGGCCAACTCATGTATCTGTCTMCAGTACTCCAGAGCTGGATTCATCAGAAAAAAAACAGCCCAGAAATAGCCAAGAGGCTGTAAGAAGAAGTAACCCATGCATGCTGGGTACACTGATCAGAGTTTAGTGCCTGTCRAGTAGGCAGCAAAGGCAGCAGCAATGTCCTCAGAGGGGCTGGGAGGCTGGAGGAGCAGCATGCAGTAAGGCCCTGGGTTGAAGCGAAGGAGATTGCACCCAGAGGGCAACAGGAGGTTGAAGGGATATCTCAGTCCTGGGAGGCGGAGAGAACAAAGCTGTAGTTGTGGCAGCAGCCCTGGGTATGGGACAGTGATGGAGAACAGATCGTGGTAGTGATTAGTGACCCCTTGCTGCACTCCTTCAGTATTTTTGGAGTACTTTAATCCACTATGAGCAGCATTTAGGAATAGGCAGAGCTGCCATCACCTGCCAGGTCCTCCTGGATCATCAGGAAAATGGTGCAGAAACCTGACCAGCTCCACATCACCAATCTCATGCAGCTGTATTTCTCTGTGTGTAACAAGTGCCATTTGGATTTATTTATTTCCAAGATATCCCAGTCGGAAGTCAACTCAGATAACAGAAAAYTATTTGATTTCATCTTTCTAAAGCCTGCACTTGCCAGCATTTTTTTTCAGAACACAGTTGAACAGATACTTCTCAAGTGTGTTGGCTGATTCTTATAGTTAAGAAAACCACCCTACATAGTTTCTTTGCAATGCTGTCAAGAAACCAATATATTCAAATACAATCATTTCATATGTGACTCTGTCTTTTGGTAATCATTTGCCTTGTAAATCGTAAGTACAACACAAAGATTTCAAGTTTTTTAAAGAATGTTGTTTTGATTCTTCCTCCYCTGCACTTGCTTGAAGCTATTTTCATTCAAGTGATAAGAAAGAATGTAATACAGGAGTTCCTTGTATTTCTACGATGAAGTCAAATAATTTAGGAAAGTTACTTAAATAACAACGTCTGTTCATGCTAAAAATAGCTTTATATTCTTCCTTCTCCCGATCTCAGGCAATACTGCGGCTTCACCATTCAAGCACAGACCTGTGCAACTCATGCCCCGTGGCCAGAAGCAGCTTGCAGAATGTTTTATCACACTCACACCAGAGACACACAAACAGGTTGGTACATTTTAACAAGCTGCTGTGCAAAACAAGTTCCTAGTAAGCAACCTGGGGAATATTCTCGAAGYCACAGTTCCTCCACCTTCATTCCTGCTGAGGTAAACAGGCAGAGCTGTTGGSCCAGGCAAGGGAAGGGCTTGATAGGAACCAGGAAAAGCTAAGTGCCCTTCCAGCCTGGGAAGGCACATGGTAAGGGCAAGAAGGCAAGAATCTTGGGGAGCATGGTGTAGGGGCTGCTTGGGGAAACTGAACATAAAATAAAAGGTTGGGYATTGTGCTGCTAGAAGCTGGCATGGTCCCCCAAGCTTTTCACAGGGAATGGGGTGAGGGTGTGTGAACAGGGTGGCATGGCCCATCTCAGACACCTGCAACTCAACAAGAGCAAACCGGGATGATCCCCTGTACTGCATTCCCTGTAACTCCTAAGTCTGTGACATAACAATGGTAAATCCAAATATCTAATGATTCACCCATGTATTTGAATTCTGCATGCTGGTTATTTGCAAACACAAGGTTTAGTTCAAATTATTGTAAGTAAGTTTTTCTYTTCCCCCCTCTGGTTTTCTTATTTATTTCCCAATGCCAGAGCATTCCTGTGTCCGAAGGCTTTGTGGAGAGCCAGACAAGCACCATCAATGCATCCTTTCTTACAGAGACACCGGATACCTCCAAACCCACGCTGCTCTAAAGCGRGCAGAGCTTTTACAGACGATACTCACTCCAAACCCAGTTCGCTCTGTCTCCACCGAGATCTGCCGCCCCGCGAACACCCGCTGACAACGCAGGGCATCGGAGCCGGGCCCCGGCCAGGTGCGGGCGGGCACAGGTGGCGGTGCGGGACATCCCGCGGGCACAGSTGGAGCGCTGCGGACCCTCCGGCGGCGGAGAGATGGCCCGGCCGGCCGGGGCCGCACGCTCAGCGGCGCTGGGCTGCGATCCAGCCCGCGGCTCCGCAGCCCGGAGACCCGACACGGGGAGAAGCGCCCGCCCTGCCGGCCCCGGGGCTGCTCTTTACCTTGTAGTGTCGGAAGCCGTGCAGCTGCCGGCCGCTCACGTACCGCCACCGCCACATCGCCGCCCTGCGCCCTGCGCCGGCAGCGAGGCACGGAGCGAGGCAGGGATGGCAGGGATGGCAGGGATGGCAGGGATGGGAGGACGGATGAGAGAGGCGGCGGCGTGTGGGGCGGGCAGAGGGCGGCTCCTCGGCCGCGCCCAGCGGGCTGGACCTGCCCCCGGCTCCGGGTATCGCGCCGGGGTGCCCGCAGGGCTGGCTGCCGGGCGGCTCCCGTGGGAACGGGCGTCTCCGCTCCCGGCCCTCCGCCCAACAGCCCGGGATACACACCCGCAATGGGCACCGCCAGCCGCACCCGAGGCGCGTCCCAGAATCACCTCCAAACTGGTTTTCTGGCAGAATCACCTCCAAACTGTTTTTTTTGGCAGAATCACCTTCCAACTGTTTTTCTGGCAGAATCACCTCCAAACTGTTTTTCTGGCTGCGGGTCTTTTAATTAAAGATGCCGTGTCCGTCCGAAGCGTGCCCGAAGACCGTGGAGTCGCCGTACGAAGCAATGCTAAGTAACAAATAAGAAACACGGCAAGTAACACTCCACAAAACAATGTTAGGTAACGTGTTTCAGAAACAGGGAACACCGAGGATTAAGGTTTGTTATTTGCATTCCAGTAATAATCTGCGCCTTTCATCACCTGCGCCAGAGCTTGCCACATCACGTCAGTCACCAATGCGCTCTGAACCTCCTGATTTCTAGGGAAGTGAGGCACTGGTATAGGCAAAAAATAATAAATTTTTTTTAAATAATAAAAAAAGGACTGGAAAACACCAGGAGTGACGTTTCAGCTGCAAACGCATTTAAGAACATTTAAGGTGGCATGACACCTTGTGTTACCTTTGCTGCACACTACTGTGAGAGAGAGTTAMAATCATACAGATTAWRRTTCGAGATYTTATGGRCCAAWTGGAATCTATCCAGAAAGCAAATCAATTAAAATCCATTACTTGCACCCCACGAGGCATCTTATGTATTGTGAGAGTCAGTGTTATTTTACAAATTGTGCAGATTTGATAGGAATTATATACAAGATATGATCGTTAAGTGCCAACTGYATACAATGGTTCTTGTTCTGTATTATTAATTATGCATTAATCAATTGGGATGTGCTTACACCTGCATTCTGCTTAYAGCAGCAGCTGAACTTCTGATCCCAGAACTTTAACACTTAGCTTCAGGTTACTGAGTTAAAAGCTTGATACCAGTTAGGAAAGCTAAAGTGTTTGAAGCTTATGTTTTTCATGAGACAACTCTAATTTTAATTACTGTTCATACCCTGGATTTTGATTTGGGATCCCCTTCACTGTTATTATTGTGTTTTTAAATTGTGTTCTGCTATTGGATTAATTTACAAGGGTACCTAAGAAAAGATTAGTGACCTCTACTGTACTCAGTGCAATATTAATGTGCAAGTAAGTCACTTAAACTGGCCAAATCGTTTTATAGTTATCACTTTCACTTCTTATCTCTAACTTTAGAAGCTTCAAATATGAAAGCAGAAATTGGTCTCAAAAAGTATTAGAAGTGTGATAGACAGCAGTAGAAAAGGTGCTTGTTTTTCTGAAAGGAAGAGAGTAGACAAAAATAAGA